TATTTATTTATTTATTTATTTATTTAGTATAGGGTCTACAGGGTCTCACTACATCCTCCTGTTTTCAGCCTCCCAAACACTGAGATTACAGGTGCACACCACCACACCACACAGTCTCAATCACAGTCTCATCCTGCCCCAAGGGTGGGGCCAGCACAGCACACTGGCGATGGAACCCCAGTCCCTGCATCTGCCTAAGCAGGTGCTTTGATCTGAGCTATCTGGCCAGCCCTTGCACTTTTTTATTGCCTTAGCTTTCTTTACCAAAACTTTACCAGAATTGCTCATATGTAGTAAGGTAATTACTGAATTTTATTTTCCTTTCCCATTCTCCAAAGGCCCTCAAGTATAAGTAACCTAGAAGACAAAAGAAGTAGATAAGAAGTAGAAAAACACTGGGTTATCTCCTTGCTTTAAATCTTTTTTAAAAATGAGTTGTCTGAACAACTTGGCATGTATATCTTGTTGATCCTTTGGGGAAATGGTCTATAAAGACACTTTAAAAATATTCTTGCTATTTCTGCAGTGATAAATATATATATTTTTGGCAAGTGAGGTTTGAGAAGGGTCTTGCTATGTAGTTTATGCTAGCTTTGAACTGTGTAGCCTAGCTTCAAACTCAAGGTGATCCTCCTTCCTGAGCCTCCCAAGTGCTGAGATTACAGGTGTGTGCCACCTTGTCTGATTGTTTCCTGTATGTGTTTCACTAGCTAGTTTCTTTTTATTACCACAGGTAGCAGATGTCTTTCAATTTTCCATGGAAACTGGTGGCTTTCTTCCAAACTGCATCAGTACTTTACAGGAAAGTTTAATAAGACACCTTAATGTAGCCCCTAAATATCTCTCCTTTCTAGAAGACAGACAAAAACTGATTCAGGTGAGTGTCCAAGGTGTCTCATTTGACGATAATTTTTTCAAGTGTTTTCTAAATAGAATTAATAACCTATTATATAAAGAAAAGACAGCTTCCATGTAAACATGACAATCCATAAAATCTTAATTGTACCAGATAGGCACAATTTATGGTTTTGAGTGGCTAAAAGTTAGGGTCTAGATTTGCTGGTTATGAACTTAAAAGTACTCTGAAATATAATTTTCAAGTTGGGACAAGGAGAAATTTTGTGATAATTTGGATGATGAGATGGAACCAAAATCATCCCAACTATTTCTCCCAAAGAGATATAAATTTTAATGCCAGGCATAGTGGGGCCGGGGAGATGGCTCAGTGGAATAGGCACTTCCCTGGCAAGCACAAGGGCCTGAGTTCAATCCCCGGTTCCGCCAAAAAATAAATAAATAAATGAAATAATGCCAGGCATAGTGGTGCAAGACAAACCCCAGCATAAAAGGCTGAGACAAAAGAGTCCCTGAGAGTTCAAGGCCAACCTAAACTACAAATCATATAAGCATATTTCTTAACTTGGTATATGACTATATTGTCTACAAACTTGGTCATATACTTAAGTGTACCTCCAGGTTTCTTTCTTTCTTTCTTTGTATTTTTGAGACAGGGTCTCATTACGCAGTGCAGGCTGGTCAGAGTTGCAGTGATCCTCCTGTCTCAGCCTCCCAAGTATTGGGATTATAGGCACATGCCTCCTCACCTGGCTCATTTGGGTTTTGTTTGTTGTTGTTGTTGTTGTTTTGTTTTTGAGACAGGGTCTCACTATGCAGTTCATGCTGCCCTTGAATCAGGCTGGCCTTCAGCTCATGGTGATCTTTTTGCCTCAGCCTCCTGAGTCCTGGGATATAAGCATATGCCACTACAGCTGGCTGCTGCTTCTAATTTTAAATGCTAAATCTAAATTGACCCCCTCCTCTTTTTTCTTTTGTCTCATCCACACATTGTAATGTGTTTGCATGCGTGTGTGCATGCGTGTGTGTGTGAGTGCTAAGAAGGCTACTTAGAAATCTAAAGTAATTCTACAATCTGAGGTACAGGATCTCAGGATAAATCCTGAGGGCATTTCACTGACCTTCTCAGACCAAAAAGCTACAACTCTTGTTGCACAGGTCTTGCTTTACCTTGGTCTTAACCATCCAGTAGAAAAGTATGAAGACGAAATATAGGAAATAAAGCCATGCTGTTATGTTGAGCTGTGGGGGACTCAGGTCGATAATTTCTGACATTGCCAGTTAAACAGAAGACCCAATGCTATTATGGGCTCCTGGACTCTTTTAGAATATTTTGCTGAGTTTACACACCTATAATATTCAATAACGGAACTTAGAAAAAATGGGGTATGCCTATGAATGTCCATTTTGTATCTGTGTATTCAAAGTGGTTGGGATAGATATATAGTTGCATTCTCTTAATGAATAGAATGATTTGTTCTAATGGTGTTTGTAAATAGGATCACAAGTCTGCATCTTGTACAGCAATTAACCACTAAGAAGAATATATGCAGTGTATTATTTATTGAAACTGTACTTCCGATTTGATTTGAAACTGTCTCATTGCTATCTGTTTATCAATAAAACTTTGAAAAAAAAAGAAATCTAAAGTAAAAGATGATATAGGAACTGGGGAGATAGCTCAGCAGCATAAGCACCTGCCTGGCAAGTGCAATATCCCGAGTTTGATCCCCAGTACCAAAATAAATAAATACATACATACATAAATAAATAAAACAGAAGATAATGGTGTAAGAAAATTCGTTTTTTAAATTAAACAACTCTCTGGGCCTGTGGGGGTGCATGTCTGTGTTCCCAGTTTCTTGGGAGAACAAAGCAAGAGGATCGCAAATCAAAAGTTAGCTGGGCAATTTAGCAAGACTCTGTCACAAAATAAATATAAAATAAGGGGCCAGGGAGATGGCTCAGTAGAATATGCGCTTGCCTGGCAAGCACAAGAGCCTGAGTTCAATCCCTGATTCCACCAAAATAAATAAATAAATAAATAAATAAATAAATAAATAAATAGGACTGGGATACAGCACAGTGGTAGAGTACTTGCCTAGCATGTATGAGGCACAGTTTCATTTCCCAATACTAGAAAAAATGTTTTGATGTCCTTAGGAAAATCCAGAAGTGTGGTTCACACGACCTCTTCCACCCTCTTTATTGAAAATGTTGGCCCTGGAAGCGACCTACTTGCTCCCTCTTCGCACTGCACTCCTGGATGAGATGATGTCTGACCTCACCACGATGGTGGGTAGCTACCTAAACACCTGCCGAGAAGGCTCTGCAGATGAGCTTGTAGGCACAGAGGTAGGTGTAGCTGTTTTCAGGACCTTTTTTGCTGGTTTCTGGCTCTCCTAGGGAGGGCATAGTGACAGTCTTCAACCTCATCAACATTCATGGGGCAGATTTAGAGGAAGGGAGAGGGAGAGGGAATGAACATGAGCGAGTTTGCTAAAAATATATACACCAGGAAAAGAAAAACTTGTATAAATATTTTTTTTAAAGATAACTCCCAGGGCTGGGGAAATAGCTCAGTAGAATAAGCACTTGCTTGGCAAGTGCAAGAGCCTGAGTTCAATCCCCGGTTCCACCAAAAATAAATAAACAAATAAATAAAGATAACTCCCAAGTTTTTTATTTATTTATTTATTCATTTAGAGTGTGTGTGTGTGTGTGTGTGTGTGTGTGTGTGTGGCCAGCTCAGCCTACCAGGGGGCGGGGCTGGCTGGCATGTGGTGCTGGGGGATTGAACCGCGGTCCCTGTGCTTTGCCAAGCTTGTTCCAAGTAGGTGCTTTAGACCACTGAGCCATCTCTCCAGCCCACTCCCAAGTTTTTATTTAATTTTATTTATGTATTTATTTGCAGAACCGGGGATTGAAGTGAGGCCCTTGTGCTTTCCAGGGAAGCGCTTATTCCACTAAGCCATCTCCCCGGCCCTGTATAAATATTTTAATACTAAATTTATTGAGACATCATGAGATTAATCCAAGTTACTTTTGGCCTCTGCAATTACAAGAAGTGCTCACAGTGATGACATTTATTAGTTGTGCAAACTATGGATGTGTGTACATGGATTTTTTTGTAGCAGTTTCTATCTCTTCCTCTCTCCCTTCTCTCCTGTTCCCTTTCACTCCCTCCCTCCCTCCCTCTTTCCCTCCCTCCATCTGTCCCTGTTCTCCCCCTCTTTGCCTCCCTCTCTCCCTCTCTCCCTCTCCCTTTTCCTTTCCCCTAACCCCCATATTTTTAATGGTACTGGGTATTGAACCCAGGGCTTTCACACTGAGCTATATCACCAACCCTTTTTATTTTTTATTTTGAGACAGTCTCAGTCACTGAGATGTTCAGCCTGGGGTTAAACTTGTGATCCTCCATCTTGACCTCCCAGATGTTAGGATTATAGTTGTGCACCACCAGGCCCAGTATAGCTTAGGCTTGATCCATCACCTTCAACACCTTTTCATTTCTGTTAAAGCATGAATAAATTCAAGATTTCATTAGTTATTTTTTATAGGTTTACTAATATAATCACAGTATAGATCAGGGATTGGTAAACTATTGTCTGCAGGCCAAATCTGGCCCATGGCCTGTTTTTATACAGTTCATGAGCTAAGAATATTCTTTATATTTGTAAAGAATTGTTTTTATTTTTATTTATTTTTTAAAATGTATTTAGTACAGGGTCTACAAGGTCAGACTACACAGATCAGACTTATAGTGATCTTCCTGTTTTCAGCCTCCTAAACACGGAGATTACAGGTATGCGCCACCACACCCACTCTCAATTGCCCTCTCAGGGCGCCCCAGGGGCGGGGCCAGCACAGCACTTGGGGAATCAAACCCAGTCCTTGCATCTGCCTAAGCAGGCGCTTTAATCTGCTGAGCTATCTGGTCGGCCCTAAGAATTGTTTTTTAAAAATAGAAGGCATCTGGGCATGGTGGTGCATGCCTGTAATCCTAGCATTCCAGGAGGCTGAGGTAGGAGGATTGATTGAGCTTGAGACCAGCCTGTTTTACAAAGTGAGCTCAAGGCCATCCTGAGCTGCAGGGTGAAACCTTGTCTCAAAAATAAGAAAAATAAAATAAAAAGAAGGGGCAGGTGTGTGTGTGTGTGTGTGTGTGTGTGTGTGTGTGTGTGTCTTAGTGGTAGAAAGTTTGGTTGGCATTTCTGAAGCCCTAGGTTTGGTCCCAATCACAGGGTACGGTGGGGTGGGATAGGAGTACAAATGCCTCTTGACTTATAGTGGTATTACATTTTAGTAAATTGAAAATATCATAAGTCATAGTGTGTTTAAAGCTAGGCATGGGTGGGCTGGGGATATAGCTCAGCAATATAAGTATCTGCCTGGCAAGCACAGTGTCCTGAGTTCAAGCCCAGTATCAAAATAATAATACTAATAAAATAAAATAAATAAATCTAGGCATGGATTCATACACCTGCAATCCAAACACTTTTTTTTTTTTTAGTACCGGGGATTGAACTCAGGGTCTTGCACTTGCCAGGCAAGCACTTATTCTACTGAGCTAACTTCCCCAGCCCCCAAACAGTCTTGTAGACTAAAGTAGGAATGTTACAAGTTCAAGCCTACTCTAGGCAGTTGAGTGATTTAGAAAGCTCCTGTCTCAAAAATCATAGAAGGGCTAACAATGTATGTAGTTTAACACAAAGACCCTGGGTTCAGTGGCCAATAACACTAAAAACATGGTAAGTCAGCCTATCTGAGAACTGAGTTCATGAGTCACGAAGCCTAAAATATTTGCACATTATATACAAGTATTTCTATATCCCACTGTACCCTATAAATATGGATAATTACTGTGTCAATCAAAATATATTTTAAAATATTTTCAGCTTTAGCCTTTACACAAAAATTGCTGCTATAAATTATTCTCACATTAATATTGATGCAAAATTCTAAATAAACTGCTATTAGTATTTTGATCCAAACCTCTATCTATTTTGGTGTTGCTTGTTTTGTTTTGTCTTTTGGGACGGGGTCTTGCTATGTAATAGTTCAGGGTGAACTTGGGCTCACTATGTAGTCTAGGTTAGCTTTGAACTCACTGTGATTCTCCTGCCTTAGCCTTCTGACTGCTGAAATTACATGGGTGCACTACCATGCCTGGTCCTATTTATATGCATAATATTTTGCATTTCCCCCCACATGAGACCAGCAGTGTCCCAGTGTGGTAACAAGGTTTGAGTACATCTCTCAAGATAGCATGAAAACTTACAGTTTACCTATGTATTTTATTTTTAATTGTCACTGGATTCTAGTTGCAAATATGGTTCAATATTAGAACACTTTTCATTTAATAGAGCCAAGAAAGTCTTATTATCTCATAAATGCTTAAAAAAAGAATGGTATTATGGGCCAGTGAGATAGCTCAGCGGTCTAAAGTGCCTGCTTAGGCAAGCTTAGGCAATCGCAGGGAGTATGGTTTAATCCCCTGTACCACATGCTTTGTCAGCCCTGCCCCCAGGGTAGGCTGAGTCAGCCACAAAAAAAAAATAATGTATAATATCTTACATGTATTACTGTTTAAGTTTGAAATGGATACTTTTCTAACATGGTAAAACACATCTTAGTAGAGATTATATAATGTTTGAGAGCACTAGGAACATTGTCATTAAAATCATGAAAAATATAAAATAGTAACTAGCATGTTTTTGAGTCTATGAGACAATAAAATTATTTTTTAAAGATATTAAGAGGAGTCACAGGACCAGCCAAATAGCTCAGTGGATTAAAGCGCCTGCAAGCAGGTGCAGGGGCCAGGGGTTCTATCCCTGGGCCTGCCATGCAGGCCCCACCCCCCAGGGCCTGCTGAGATGGCAATTGAGACTGGGTGTTGTGGAACACACCTGCAATCTCAGCACTTTGGAGGCTGTAAACAGGAGAATCACTACGAGTCCAGTCTAGTAGTGAGACCCTGAATACCCTGTAGACCCTTCCCTCAAATACTAAAAGAAAAAAAAAAAGTCACAATTTGATTTGCCTACTATACAATTGAAAACTGAAGAAAATCAAATGAAAAGGATTACCACAAACCAAAAGGACAATATAATAAAGTGACTGGGTAAAAATATAAAATTAATATATTTTCTGTACTCACACAAACACAAATATAGGGACTGAGGAGATAGCAAATATAATGGGAGGGAAATAAAACCTCATAATTTTATGAAAAAAGTCGATTACCCAGCAATAACTCAATACAAAATGTGGATTATAGTGAAGAAAACATTTTAGTATTACTGAATGGCGTAAAAGAAAACTTAAATGAATGGAGACACTAAATATTTTAGCTACTGATTATTCCTAAATTACCATTTAAACTTAGTTGCATTTCATTAAAAATGTAAACATCATGAGGGCCACCCAGGTAGCTCAGTGGATTAAAGGGCCTGCTTAGGCAGACCCAGGGACTGGGATTCTATCCCTGGCATGCTGTGCTGGCCCTGCCCCTGGGGCACACTGAGACTGCAATTGAGACTGGGCGTGGTGGTGCGAGCCTGTTATTCCAGTGCTTGAGAGGTTGAAAACAGGAGAATCAGTAGAGTTGGATCTGTGTAGTGAGACCCTGTAGACCCTGTACTAAACACATAAAAAAAAAAAAAAACAATTATTGCATACACTAGAGGGTGCTATGTGATCATATTTGAATAAACACTTGATTGCCTACTTTCATTAGATACAATAGTAATTTTTAAGTACCATATTTACAAGTTTAGTTATTATAAACTTGTGTTCATTTTCCTTTCTTAGCCTACATGTATGGAGCTGCCAGAAGAACTGTTTCAACTCAAAGATTTCCAGAAGCAGCGCAGAGAAAGAGCTGTGAAAGAATACAGGATGAATGCACAAGGACTCTTAATAAGGACTGTGCTAGGTCCAAAGAAATCAGAGATACCAACAGCAGGAAAGCGGGAAAAAGTCAGAGGCTCTTTGTCTTGTAAAGATTCTAGGGAAGAGAAGCCTCCAAGTCTGACATCCCATGAATTTCATGAGGATGGCAAGTTTTCGAAAGGAGAATTTAAAACAATAGTAACATCTCAGTGTCTACCTCCTATAAAAAAGAGAGAAGCCAGTGAGAATTCCAATAACAGACTTATTTCCCCTGAGTCGAAAGGATCAGAAGATAGAATAACTCAAAAGGAATACTTTATGTTGCCCGAGTATGAGTTTCAGGCAAGTTTTTCTCTGAAAGAAGAGCAAGAACAATTGATTCTCAAAGATAAGGAATATTTGTTGTCCACAAAACCAGATGTTTCAATATCTCCTTCTTCTCTTCAGGAAACCAGAGTGTCACCAAATTTTACATTCCATTCTTTCAAAGAAGCTGGGATTTCCACACTCCCTCCCTGTCCAGCCTTGGAGAAGGTCGACTGGTGGATAAATCCACCTATAAATCTGCGTTAGGGGGTGCAGTATGTTTGAGGCCATGTGGGGGCCTCCTTTCCTCTGTCATCCAGGGCTTACTACATGCTTAAATTTCTCTTGTTGTGAGTGTAGTTAGGCCTCAGTCACAAGTCTCAGGGAAAATTACAATCTCTTGCTCCTACATTACTCTTAATATGGGTTAGGATGAAAATTAATACACTAATAAGGGAAGAAGTAAAATTTCTGATTATGTCACAGTGCAGAAATGTTTCGAGTGGCCAGAGTAAATTATATCTCATAATTTGGATTTAGAGGTTTTTGAGGAGGGAAACATCTTGGTGTCAGAGAGAATCTATAATTTTAAATTCGTTTTGATTTTGGCTTTTAGTTTAGCTTGAAGAGAATCGTAAGACTCTTAGTTACCCCTAAGTTTAAAAAAAGTGTATCATTAATGTTACTAATAATTTTTTTCTTAAAATATTAACTTTGTGCTTGGATTTTGAATGTTTTCAAATTCAAAATCATAGAAAAACAATAATGTTACAGGAATCATCTCATTGAAATTTATTTCATTTAGGGCTTTTTGGGGGCTCCACTTCACCAGCAAAACAAGGACTCTGGGCTTCTTTTTAGTTATCATTATGTAACCTTGAGAACGACTTTCATCATATTGGCCTGGACTTGGTGTGTGTTCTTATGATAAGAGCTGCGGAGGCACACACCTATAATCCCAGCACTCGGAAGCTCAGAGAAGACGCTCGAGCCCAGACTGGGAAAATTAGCAAGAACTGTCTCAAAGAATAAAAGAAAGGATCGGGGATATAGCTCAGTGTGAAGGCCCTGGATTCAGTCCACAATACTGTACCCTTTCCCTCCACATAGTCAGGTTGTGTTGAGCCTTTTTCGTAATGTATACAAATCGCTCACATTCTTTTGTGTAAAATAACCAATAAACCTTTTTGAACATTAGGTAATCTCTCGCTTTTCTTAATTGGGCTGTGATAGGAAGATTTGGAATATTTCTGGAAGCAAACACAAGGATCTGAGTTCAATCCCCAGTTCCATCAAAAAATAAAAAATAAAAAAAGATACTAAATACTACTCAATTGTACACTTTAAAATGGTTGATAAGAAAAAAAAAAAGTGGTTGATGGTTAATTTAGGGGCTGGGGAGATGGCTCAGTAGGATAAGCGCTTGACTGGAATATTTCTAGATTTCTAGGTCTGGAGTGTAGTGTGGAAATGTCATTTGATTCTGTTACAGAACTGTGTTAGGGGAAATTTAGGGATAGTCTAAAGTTAGGGACATCCTATCTGCATCAACCATTTCTGTTCTGAG